TTGGCAGGGGCTGCCCAGGGAGGTTTGCAGTGCCCATCCCTGGAGGTGCCCAAGGAAGGCCTGGCTGTGGCACTCAGTGCTCTGGGCTGGGGACAAGGTGGTGTTTCTTGGGACTAAGGTTGGACTCTGATCTCAGAGGGCTTTTCCAACCTGTGACTGTGTGACTGACCCTTCTCCCTGCTCCCAGTCCCGCTGCTCCCAGTGAGGGCTGGGCCACAGGTTGCTCCAAGTGGCTCCATCCTGCAGCCAAAGGCCCTTTACCACCCCCCACCCCCCCCCAGGTATCTCCCTCTGGTTTTGTTGGATTCCTGGTGCCAACTGAGACCTGCAGAGACCCAAACCTCTGCCATGCACACCCACAGCATGGATGGGGAACCTTGGTTTGCAGCCTTCACCCCTGAGAGGTGCCAAATTCCTCAGAACCTTCAAAAACACGGATTTTGCCACGTGGCTGCCTGGGCAAACCCAAGCTTTAAGTTGTTAGGAGGGGAAAACCAGGTGGAAATTTGAGATACAAACAGGAGACGGCATCAAGAACCCCCACAAAGCACACACAGAGCCCAAGAGGAGCCAACTGAGGGTGGAACAACCCTCAGAAGCAGCTGGGAAACGTGGGCAGATCCCATGGGATGTGCAAGTCCTGCAGAATTGAGCATCCTCAGCTGGTGTCCCCGGGCTGTCCCAGCTCACCTGGCGATGGCCATCCCGATGTAGTAGGACAGGGGCATGATGGAGAGCAGGGCCAGGGAGAACTTGAGGGTGGAGCTGCTCAGGTGGTTGTGGCTGTCCAGGTAGCCCAGCAGCAGCGTCACCACCACCAGCGGCAGCAGGTCTGGGGAGGGTGTCAAGGACACTACACAGCGGGGTGGGGGGGGTTTGGGGTCAGCTCACCCCCCTTCCCCTCCATCCCCCCCAACACCAGCAGGTCTGGGGGGGTGTCAAGGACACTACAGAGCGGGGGGAGTGGGGTTTGGGGTCAGCTCACCCCCCCTTCCCTTCCATTCCCAGTCCATCCCACCCCATCACCAGCAGGTCTGGGGAGGGTGTCAAGGACACTACAGAGCAGGGTGGGATTTGGGGTCATCTCCCCCTTTCCCCACCATTCCCAGTCCATCCCACCCTGTCACCAGCAGGTCTGGGGGTGGGTCCCGGAGCCGGCCGAGGTTTGGTGGGATGTGGGGTGGGATTTGGGGTCCCGTCCCCAGCGCTGCCCCAGGATACTGACGGCGAAGACGTTGAGGCCGTGCACGGAGTACTTGTAGTAGTAGGGGTTGGCGGCGCGGTAGCAGCACAGGATCACCTCCCCCTCCAGCGGCACCTCCGTCTGTGGGGGCACACAGTTGGTGACCCCGCTGCTGCTGCCACCCCCAGCCCCCCAAAAACCCCCCTTTCTCCAGAGTGGGGACCACAGGAGCCTCACCATCCTGCCCCTGCGGACGCGGACGCGCTCAGGGGGCAGCAGCAGGATGCGGGTGGCACTGCGGGCGCTCAGCTTGGCCACGGGGATGGTGACGATGAGGAGCCAGGAGGTGACACAGACCAGGGCGTGGGACAGGGCCAGCACCGGGTACCCCAGGCACAGCCAGGCCGCGGTGCCCACGTGGCGCTGGAATGGGAGGCACCGTCAGGGTTGGCCCCAGAAGTGCTCACCCCAGGGAGAGGAGGTGCCCTCAGGGGCTCTCCCCACCCCAGGGGTGCCAGTGCCCAGTGTGGGGTGTCACCATGCCCGGTGTGGGGCTCACCCAGTATCCGGTGCCCTCCCAGCACCGCGGGCGCCAGCGGCCTGGGGTGGGACCCCCCAGCAGGGCCGAGCTCTCCCCCACGCCAGCCTCCTGGGATTTGGGCACCTGGGGGACACAATGGGGGGGTCAGGGCATGGCACAGCACACCCCACCCACCCCCCCGGGATTCGGGATGAGCCCTCACCTCCACCTTCTGGATCACTTTGCCAAAGGGCCACAGGAAATACCCGGCCAGGTCCCAGCAGAGCCGCCCTGGGGGGGACACCAGGGACACTCGTGTCCCCTCCAGCTCCAGGGAGAAGGGACACAGGAGGTCCCCACGCTGTTGGGAGCTCGGCCAGGACACCCACACCTCCCCCAGCCCTTCCCTGATTCGGGACTCACCATGAGGAGCCCCCACAACAGTGAGGAACATGCCAGCGGCCACCAGGCCGTGCAGCAGCGAGAGCCACCAGCCGAAGAGCAGCAGGTACAGGACGTTCCCACACGTCACCGTGGACCCTGCAGGGATAGGGGGGCACAGCTGGGACCCACTGGTACCTGCAGCCCCCCCAAACCCACGGGGCTGCCCCGTGCCCCCACCTGCAGGGCCCCGGAGCACCGTGAGGTCGGAGTAGAGCTCCTTGACGATGTCGGAGCGCTCCTCCCAGGGCCGCGCCGTCACATGGCTCTTCCACTTCTTGAAGCCAAACTGCAGAGACAAGGGGGGGTTTTTTGGGGTGGGTGGGGAAAGAGCCAGCCCGTCACACCCCCTGGGAGCACCTCTGGCCCCCCAGGGACACCCACCTTGTAGTTGTTGGAGAGCTTGTTGGCCTCCACGGCGTTCTCGGCCGTCAGGGTGGTCCTGGCGCAGCTCTCGCACTCCTCGGGCGTGGCTGGGGGCACATGGGGGTCACGGGGGGCACACGGGGGTCAGGGACCCCCAGCACCCCCTGTCCCACCTACCCGTGGGGCCGCGGGGCCGGTGCAGGTGACAGCCCAGGTCGCCCAGGTCGTTGTTGATGGTGGTGGAGCAGTGCCGGTCGCACAGGGAGCCCCGCCGGGAATCCGTGGCCTTGGGAATGTCTGTGGGAGAGGCTGGAATTATCACATCCAGCCCCGTGTCCTGCCCGGGCTCGGAGCACCAGGACAAGCAGGTGCTGCTGTGTGGGGGGTGCCAGCCCGGTCCCCAAACCCCACGGGGGATGGGGACACAGTTCCCAGGGGGGGAGCCAAGGGATGTTGGGGAGAGGGGACCCCACCCGTGCCTGGGAAATGGTGGGGGGGGTTAAATCCCACTCGGTGCCTGGTGTGAGGGTTGGGAGGGTGGATCCCACAGTGGCCGGAGGGAGGCTGGGGAGGGGAGACCCCACAGGTGCCCAGGAAAAGGGGGGGAAATCCCACTGGGTGCCCAGAGTGATACTCGGGAGGGGGGACCCCACAAGTGACCAGGACATGGAGGGGGGGAGAAAAATCCCAATCCCACTCAGTGCCTGGTGTGAGGGTTGGGAAGAGGGACTTGGCAGTGCCCAGGAAAGGGGAGACCCCCTCTAGTGCCTGGAGTGAGGCTGGGGAGAGGGGACCCCACAGGTGGCTGGGAAAAGGGGAGGGAAATCCCACTGAGTGCCCGGAGTGAGGCTGGGGAGGGGGCACCCGGCAGGGCCCAGGAAGGGGGGACCCCACGGTGCCCAGAGTAATGCCCAGGAGAGGAGACCCCACAGGTGCCCGGGAAAACGGGGTGGGAATCCCATTCGGTGCCTGGAGTGATACTCGGGAGGGGGGACCCCACAGGTGCCCCGGACATGGAGGAAGGGGGAGAAAAATCCCAATCCCACTCAGTGCCCGGTATGAGGGTTGGGAAGGGGGGGACCCTCCCATATCCCAAGAAGGGTCCCGACCCCCTCTGGTGCCCGGAGTGATGCCGGGCAGGGGGGACCCCACAGGTGCCCGAGAAATGGGGGGTAAATCCTACTCGGTGCCTGGAGTGAAGGTTGGGAAGAGGCGGAGACCCTCCCAGATCCCAAGAAGGGTCCCGACCCCCTCTGGTGCCCGAGTGCTGCTGGGGAGGGGGGTACCCAAGAAGGGCGGACCCCCCGGAGCCCCCCGCGCTCACCGGGCGGGTCCTGCCCGCAGCAGCAGCAGCGGCAGCAGCGGCGGCGCCGGGCGGGCTCGGCCTCGCTGGCCATGGTGGCCATGGTGGTCCCGGCGGAGGGGGCGATCCCGCAGCCCCCCGGAATTTAACGGGCGGGGCCGGACGTGCGCGACCCCGGGACGGGGAAACGCCCCCGCAACGGGAGGGGCGGGAAACGCCCCCGCACCCCGAGAGAGGCCGGGAAGGGGCCGCCCCCCGCACCGCGGGATGAGACTGGAGGGAGCGGCGGGAACGGGGGGACGCGGGGAGAGGGATGCGCGGGGATTTGGGGTGCGCGGGGATTGGGGGTGCGCGGGGATTTGGGTGCACGGGGATTGGGTTGCGCGGGGATTGGGTGCGCAGGGATTGGGATGTGCAGGGATTTGGAGATGTGGTTTATCGGGGTGCACAGGGAGAGGGATGCGCAGGGATTTGGGGTGCGCGGGGATTTGGGGTGCGCGGGGATTGGGGTGCACGGGGATTGGGCTGCGCGGGGATTTGGGGTGTCAGGGATTGGGCTGCGCGGGGATTTGGGGTGCTCGGGGATTTGGGGTGCTCAGGGATTTGGGGTACACAGGGATAGGGATGCGCAGGGATTGGGGTGCAGAGGGGTTGGGGTGCACAGGGATTAGGATGCTCAAGGATTAAGATGAGCAGGGGTTGGGGTGCTCAGGGATTGGGGTGCGCGGGGATAGGGATGAGCAGGGATAGGGGTGCGCAGGGATTGGGGTGAGCAGGGATTGAGGTGAGCAGGGATTGGGACGCACAGGGTTTTGAGGTGCGCGGGGAGTTGGGGATGTGGTCTATCGGGGTGCACAGGGATAAGGATTCTCAGGGATTTGGGGTGCGCGGGGATTTGGGGTGCTCAGGGATTGGGGTGCGCAGGGATTGGGGTGCTCAGGAGTTTGGGGTACACGGGGATAGGGATGTGCAGAGACTGGAGTGCGCAGGGATCAGGGTCCAGAGGAGCAGGGATGCTCAGGAATTGGGGTACATAGGGATTGGGATG